ACCCGGGGCTCCGCCCCCCCTCGCTGCCCCGCCCCACCTCGCTGCCCAGGCCCCCTAGGTGGGGCCGACCCCGGCACTAGGCGCGGGGTCACTCCAGAATACCTGCGGGAGCCGAGCTTGGAAGGGCTGGAACCTGAGGAGAGGTCCCCAAGCAACTTCTATATTGTACGTTTAGTAAAATTGAGAACATTCAGTTGTATGGTTAAGAGGGGTTTGGATACTGTTAAGAGCCGCCAACTAACCCCCAAGGCCCCTCCGGCACTGCTACCAAAGCCCTGGTAGATATCCAGCCCTGGCACCTCCAGGCCTGACCCTGATACCCTGCTGGGCTCACCACAGAACCCAAACTGCCAAGCCTCTACCCACAATCTCCCCTGCTCCTGCCGTCTTGTTCCCATGCTTCGGTCCCTCTTCTACGTGGGCCCACAGAACCTCAGTGTTCTGCTTTCCACATACACACTAACTTCCCACAAAACCCACGTGGTTGATCTCCCTCACCTTGAGGTGACCTCTCTGTTTTCTGGTCTCAGATGCTGTTCCTGGCCACTTTCTTTCCCACCTGGGAAGGCGGCATCTATGATTTCATTGGGGTGAGTGGGGCAAGGAAGGGGGAGGGAATGCAGGAGTGGGGCCCCCTGGCCCCCGTGCTTACTCAAGCCTCAACCTGACCCACAGGAGTTCATGAAGGCCAGCGTGGATGTGGCAGACCTGATAGGCCTAAACCTTGTCATGTCCCGGAATGCCGGCAAGGGGGAATACAAGATCATGGTTGCTGCCCTGGGCTGGGCCACCGCCGAGCTCATTATGTCCCGGTGTGTGCAGCATCCTGGAGCCCAGATTCCTGAGAAAGGACACCTCGGTTCCAGGGGGGTGCTGGAGGGCGGGGGCTCAGATTTTGGGTGCTGAGGGTGTCTGGGTACTGGAGAATCCCTCCCTTTGCCTTCCTCAGCTGCATCCCCCTCTGGGTTGGAGCTCGGGGCATTGAGTTTGACTGGAAATACATCCAGATGAGCATTGACTCCAACATCAGTCTGGTACGCAATTCTGCTCTCCCACACACACCTTTTTGCTAGTGGTTATACTCCTGAGGCCTGGCCCTGATCTCCTGCCTTCCTCCAGGTCCATTACATCGTCGCATCTGCCCAGGTGTGGATGATAACACGCTACGACCTGTACCACACTTTCCGGCCGGCAGTCCTCCTACTGATGTTCCTTAGCGTCTACAAGGCCTTTGTCATGGAGTGAGCTGGGTGGGGTTCGAGGCTGGGTCCAAATGGGTTGAATTTTCTATTCTCCCTCCCTCATTGTCATGTTTCCTGACAGGACCTTCGTCCACCTCTGTTCCCTGGGCAGCTGGACGGCACTGCTGGCCCGAGCGGTGGTGACAGGACTGCTGGCCCTCAGCACCCTGGCTCTGTATGTCTCTGTTGTCAATGTGCACTCCTAGGCTTGGTGTCCCAGACTTTCACACACCTTTTCCCTATCTCCAGGTTTCAGTGAAGTAAACAGTGTTTGGAAAGTTGTTTCTGCCTTTATTTCTCTCTGGAACTGTCTACCAATACTATGCTCACCTGGGTCCCAGAAGCTCTTGTTTTGGCTTTGGAGCCAGGTAGACAAGCTGCAAAACTAGCCAGCACTGATTTGTCCTGTGTTTCTAGACCAGTTCCACTGCTCCTTGTTTTCCCAAAGTTGACTAAGGGCTCAGAGAAGACAGTCTTGGAGCAGAGGCAGAGACCAGGGCCCTCAGGGAATAGGTGATACAGCGGAGCTAGAGCCCAAGAGACAGTTCTTGGGGGCTCCTCCTCACAGCCTTAACCTGGTGCTCTCCCACATGGCCCTTCCCTGGCTTGTCACCTCCTAGATCCTGGCCCCAAACTGCCCCGCATCTACCTTTTATATGGCAGCCAAGGGGGTCTATCTGAAACCCTGTCTTACTAGCTCACCCTACCTTGCTTGCAGCCATCTAGGGCTCCATCTTGCACAGCAGTAGTCCAACCGCTTGACCCTTGGTTTTGCCCTTGAGGGCCTGTTTTGTAATTCTGAAGTCCTCAGTGCCCTGACTCAGTTCTGTGGCCCTCAGATTAAATCCTGGCCAGAGTTGTCTTAGGGTAGAGAACAGAGACAGCTGCCCCGGTAGCAGAGCAGTTGAGCTCACCAATTTGGATGCTGTCCTGGATGCCACCCTCCTCACCCCAGCCCTTCGCAGGTCTGGTAGGGCCAGCTTCCTGCCCCTTTCTCTCCCCTCCCTGAGGGGAATGGGTTAGAAGTGGGGCTTTGAATGTCATGCTTCAGCTCCATCTTGATGCAGATCCTACCAGCCTGGAAGGTGCTCTCCAGCCCTGGTGGTCCCAGTGGGATCCTCCAGGGCATGGAATAGGGCATTGGCCCCCTCCCTCCACTAGGCTGTTGAGGTCCTGCCATAATGTTGTTTACCCCTGGGCCTAGGACGGCACCAAGCACAGCTCTGTTCAGCCCTGCTATGAGTCTCGGTGTTGTCAGAGGGAGCATTTACCCTCAGGTGGGGCAACCACAATCTGACCCCTCCCCCTCCTCAGTGCTCCTAGTCAAGACAGGGTCCACGGGTGTCTTGGGAGTGGAGTAGTGAGTGATGGTTAGGCCACCTTGACTTTGATATGAAAATGGAGTAGATGGGTGCTCCCCCAGCCCATGTGGGTGGATATGTAATAACATTGCTTTCCTCCATCCCATGCCCCACCTAGACCTTAGCGCACATTGGGACAGTGAAGGTTGCAGGAATGACTATTCAACAACTATCTGCTGAGCAGGGACTCTGATCCAGGCTCCCTGCTGGGGCCACCTGTCTGAAACAGTCCCAGCTTTCATGGGGCTCAGGGAGACAGAACAGAGTGGTTGGGGCTGTAGTGGGGATCCCACAGGCCCTGTTGTGATGGGTGAAGCCCAGTCGGAGTGGTAGGACTGATGAGCTAGACTCAATGACCAGGGCTTTGATGGGAAGAGAGGGCTGTGTCTCCCCTGGAGGAGAGGATGTGTGAGCTGAGACATAAAGGATGAATTAATAGGGCAAAGAGTCCAGGGCCTTTAGGTCAGAAAGGGGGCCTAGGCTTTCCAGTGAAACATAAGAACTGGTGGGAATGAGTTCAAGGGGGCTTGTGAGACTACAGGGGCCAGATCATAGAAGGCTCTGAGGCTGGGCTGGAGAGTTGACTAGGGCCAGTGGGGAACCATGGAAAGTTCTAGGCAGAGGAAGGATGGTCAGTTCTGGCTTTAGGAGGATCTCCATGGCTGCTGTGTGGATGGGGAGACTGAGGCCAGAAGGCCAGGCCTGGACCAGGGCAGGGCTGGCAGGGCTGGCAGAGGTAGAAGAAGGGTGGTTAGGAGCAGAGTGGAGATGTGGTGACCAGTGGTCTGTGTTTTTATTTCACTGGATGGGGTGGGGGTGGGTGATGGATGGTAGGAAAATGACAGGTAAGGGAGGAGTCCAGGGTAACACAAGTTTGGGGTTGTAAGCTCTCTGAGGACTGTTTCCCAGGGAGAAGGAAGCACACTGATGGGACAGTAGGTGGGACCAGGTTTGGAGGATGATGGAGAGACCAGTGTGGGTCCCCATGGACATGTAGGGTAGGCTGGAGACAGCTGTGGGCATCACCGCAGAGGCAGAACAGGCCAGTGGTGGTGGGAGTGGGGAGTCTTGCTGAAGAGGAAGGAGAAGCTTGGGGTCCAGCCACAGAGACTCTTGACAAAGAAGGAGTAAGAGAGGCAAGAAAGGGGGACCGGGAAAAGGATTGGCAAAGTGGGGGGCAGTGTGGACAGGGGAGTTTCCAGTAGTTGGAGGGTTAACTTTAGGTGAGAGGGTTGTGAGCAGGGGTCTTGTGACTTTAGCCTCCAGGAGTGGGTCAGGACTGACCAGTGATAGGGCACCCCGTGCAGCTGCAAAGGCGTGAGCAAGCAGAATCAGAGTGGAGACATCTGAGAAGGGTAGAGGGCGGGGGCTGCGTGAGGTGGAAAGAGGGAGAGTGGGTGCTGAGAAAGGAGAGCCCAGAGGTGGTGTTAGCTAGTGGGGTGGTTAAAGACACTGTACTGAAGGGTGCCTGTGGTCACATTCAGCTCACCTTGAAATGCTGTAACCCTAGGCAAAGAAATGGGAATTCATTCCCCTAAGGAACATTTACTGAGTAGCCACTGTGTGCCAGACTGTGTTCTAGGAACTGGAGATACAGTCTGGAACAGAGCCCCTAAGAGGATTCTGGCCGACAAAAGAGGTTCATGAAAAAACA